TGCACTGTTTCTGTAAGAGCTACAGACTAACACTGTAATTTATTACCGTATATGCAAGAATAGATTTAATATTGTAATAAAGATGAGCGATATGGCAATATATATATATTTATACTTGTAGATTATATGCATCATGACATTGGGATTGAGAATATATATAGATCCTTTTTAAAGATATAAACATTTAACATAAAAAAAAAGGAAAAATGAATCTTTCTGAAGAGGTTCTACTTGAAACCTTAAGAAAAGATTACTAGTCTGTTGTAATGTTGTGCATATAATCTTTCTTAAAGAACAAAATAAATAAATAAATAAATTAATTAATGAATAAATATCGGAGTAGGCTAGTGTTATAAAAAATATGATAATTCTCATAGAACAGTGAATTGTGTAATGATTTATTGCATTATTGATATTATACCTTAAAATCATTTAGTGCAACATGGTACACGCTGACACTCAGAAATAAAAGGTTCTCCTTGTCGTTGCAGTGGTACCTTTCGTTTGCATCTTTTACCTTTAAAGATCATTTTAGGCACCTCATCAGTACCTTTAGAGTTTTACTCCAAAAAGGAAAAACACACATATACCCTCCCAGGTGAAGGATACACACTGAAGGCACCAAAACATCCACCCTTTGATGGTACCACGGCATTGACAAGGAAAAGCACTTTATTCCTGCTTTCATTTAGCACCCTAAAGCCTTTCTTTGGTTTTAGGTTCCGAGTAGATCCAATTTTGGAAGCGAGACCTGCTATGTATCCAAAGAACCCTTGAGATTTCCTTGTTATCGACGAGTTTAGCTGTTAATACAAGAACGTGTTGTGTTGAATTAACGAATGAATCTAGCACTGTAGAACCCTACAGTGGAGGCTCTTCCTTTCAGAAAAGGTTCTAAGTATAAAGGGTAAAATCAAGAACCTTTAATGGCTCTATGATGCGTCCATCTGGAGAACCCTTAAAAGCTCTGTGTGGAAGGTTCCAAGTAGAACCTTTACAGGAAGCCATTTAAACAAACCCTTTTAAAAGAGTATATAGCTACGGTATGTTATAATAGTCTATATGTAATTCCTAGGATGATGATGTGCTAATGTGCATATGTTTGTGCCCTCTGTACCTGTACGTGCAGGTGGGTTCTGTATCCCGGTGTATATTCCCTACGTGCTGACGGGGGAGTGGAGGCTGGGCAGAGGGCTGTGTAAGCTGTGGCTGGTGGTGGACTACATGCTGTGTACGGCGTCGGTCTTCAACATCGTGCTCATCAGCTTCGACAGGTTCCTCTCGGTCACTAGAGCCGTAAGTCGAGTCCTTTCCTGCTTCTAGATGAAAAGCTGCAAAGTGGTGCAATGCTTCACTATTAAAAATGAAGGTGCCAGAATCGGTTCTTTACCATGACCTGTTTTTGGTTTCCTGTAGAATCTTTCAACAGAGAAATCTTTTTGCTGTTGTTGCCGCTATAAACTGAATAAGCAATTTCCATGACAAATTCGATTTATTATTAGTTGATTATTTTTTTGTTCTCTGTGGCACCAAGAAAAATGGTTCACGACCCATCGATCATAAGGTTCTTCAGGACAGGGGTCCTCAAACATTTTGCAGCCAGAGATCCCTCCCAGAGTAAAAGGATTGTGAAGAACCCTCCTTAAGATCACTGCTCAGATTGAATTTTGAGAACAATACACGAGTAAATATGTACCAGCATTTTAATTTATTTGAGCTATTACAGCTTGTTATTCCTTTCATTTCATCCAGATTTAGATCTATAAACAGCACTTCCTGGTTTTAATAAAACAGAATTTAATTGTATAAAATTACATCAGGAAACCCTGGGGGTCTCCTGGGGGTCACTTTGAGAACCGTGGCTGTAAGAAACTTTATTAAAAAAAATTCTCCTGTGACTTTATTTTATATCACAATTTCTAGAAATTTTATTTTTAAGAGTGTATAATTCTGCACTCTTAAGGATTCTTTGCATAGTTAAGGGTTCTACCTGGAAGGGTTCCACCAGAAGGACAACCCAAGGGCCTTTAAGGTTTCATCAAAGAAGAACTGTAGTCTGTATGGAGATAATGTTTTAAAACGAGTGTTTTTTTTTCCTGTTCCAGGTGAGCTACCGCTGCCAGAAGGGCATGACCCGCGAGGCCGTGCTGAAGATGCTGTGCGTCTGGTTGGCTGCTTTCCTGCTCTACGGGCCGGCCATCATCAGCTGGGAGCACATCGCTGGGAAGAGCGTGGTTCCTCACGGCGAGTGCTACGCCGAGTTCTACTTCAACTGGTACTTCCTGATGACCGCCTCCACTGTCGAGTTCTTCACGCCTTTTATAAGCGTCACCTACTTCAACCTCAGCATCTACATCAACATCCGAAACCGCTGTGTGCTCAGAGAAGAGCGCTCTACCTGCGCGCACCTCAGGAACGGGAGAACCGGAGAAGCCAAGCCGTTCTGCGCGGCTGATGTCCAGCGCGTGTTTTTCGTGAGGCCGGCTGAAGAGAGCAGCATTGTCGAGAACTCAAACTCAAGGTCTCGGTGTTGTCGGTTGTCCAGCGCTACAGTGTCAGGAACCGAATCTGAAAACGCCGGACGGACAGCGAAGAGGAGAATGAGTGCGATTCCGGATCTTCCGCCTCTGCAGCTTGGGGACATGGTGAACGAGACGGGTTTTAACTGCGCTGGACATTCGTGCCTGTCACAAAGAAACCGAGCAGACGTTTCGTCAAGTCTCGCCAGCCGCTTTCGCCTTTCCAGGGACAAAAAGGTGGCCAAGTCTCTGGCTGTGATCGTGTGTGTGTTCGGCCTGTGCTGGGCTCCGTACACACTCCTGATGATCATCCGAGCTGCCTGTCACGGCCAGTGCGTTCAGCACTACCTGTACGAGATCTCCTTCTGGCTTCTGTGGATTAATTCGTCCATCAATCCCGTGCTTTATCCGCTCTGCCACACCAGCTTCAGGAGGGCTTTCAGTAAACTGTTGTGTCCGAGTAAAATAAAGATCCAGCCGCAGTACATGGACCAAAAATACTAACAAACGCAGGACTGAGATCTGCGAGGTGTTCATTTGTGCAGATGATGTTCGTGTCAGGATGTATTAGTAATCTCTATCCATATTGGACTGGTGTAAAAGCTGTAGTACTGACTGAAGTAAACCCACTTCTGTGTATCCATCACGTTGTTTCGAGGTTCTGCAGGAGAAGGTCCAATGTGGTGCAACTGTGTAAAGTTTCAACTTAAGCAGTACTACAAGCATCCGGAGTCAGTGGTCCATGTTACGACGTCACGACTGGAGGACACACAGCTTGTGTAACGTCACAGGACAGCTCAACACGCTCGGAGGAGAGCACTAACAATCCTACAGTCTAGGAAAATGTGAAAAGCCCCCCCCCCAAAAAAGAAAACAATACTGAAAATGTAACCCTTTAGACTGTCAGAAGTTACATGTCGGAAGTGCATGTTTCTGGGGTGCAAAAAGTTTTTTTTACTGTATTTTGTAATGGAAAACGGAAGAAAAAGATAAACATTACAACTGAGATGATTCTCAAGCTGTTCATGAGTAAATGAAAAAGAAACAGATAAACATTTGTGTATCGTTTAGATTGACCCCATTGTTAATATCCTATTATTATCTTAGCTTTTGACCATTTTTGTTACTTGTGGTAAAGAAAGAACATCTGTGGAAGCAAAACTTATTAAATGTTGTGTTTATTTTGTCTTAAAGATGCCAGTTTTTCACTTGACTGTAGTTTGTTCTTTCGTACTTTTTGAATGTCGCTGCATCCTGCAGATTTGTCAAATGAAAATGAAAGGAAATGTATCTCTCTCCCCTGACTGATTAAAGATCAGTAGTAAAACTGCATGGAGTATTTTGTAAACCTTTAGGATTAATCATGTATCTGTTCTTCCACCAGAGAAAGTGCATCCACAGCACGATCTTATTTCCGAAAAAGGATAAAAGAAGACCGGAAATCTCACTTTCTTGTTAGTTCATTTCCTCGATCAGATTGTTCACGATTCACCTGTTACTAATCGCTTAAAAGACAAAATTCATCATTGTCCGTAACCTTCCACTTCCACAAGTGCAGCAACCTTCTCCAGCCTCTGATTTATTTTCTATTACATCATAGTAAAATCGTTGGCAGGACAATAAATATAACAATCAAGAAGTTAACGCCGTGTTTCACCACGTTTGTTTTGGAACGCCCGCTTTTTCAAAAGCCAATCAAATCCTGTTGGATAGAACCAAAGTCCCGCCTACTCATAAGCGGTTTTGCTGGTAGATATGTCAAATTTTCAATAAACATCATCTATAAGTGCTTTGCTCATGAGAAAGCAACTCATTCTGGTCAGAAAATGAAGGGTTATTTGAGAAAATATGGCTCTGAAAAAAAAAAAAAAAAAGAGAAAATCTCTAGTTTGGGATGATTGACACCCGAGTCGAAAGCCTCGATTATTTCTAGCTAAAAAAAAAAAAATAATTAAAGGTGCAACATGGTCCATTCCGATTTTCCACTCGCTACTTAGCAGCTTAGCAATGCTTACGACCGAGAAATTGGTTCACTGTCTAAAAAGGATTGTCTGGCCATTTTCCTTCCTTGTCACGCTGTATTAGAAACGTGTATTAGTATTGATTTTACATCTCTGAGCCAGAGTGCCTGATTATTTCGGCTGTCCGAGTGCAGCCAACTTTAAAATCGCGATTTAACTTAGCAAAACAGCGGCCATTTTTGTCGATCCTTCCCTCATAAGCAATGCGTCGGCTCCTCTGCTTCGAAAGGTCTGGTAGTTTCCATGGCAACCCAACGACCTCAGCGTGTGCACCGAGAACAGTGTGACTCACACCGTTCAGAGTCGCTCGGTCACCTGGTCTATAGAACACTGCACGCAGCATCTCGTTTACAAAGGCCAAGTGGAGGATTGATTGTGGAGGGTGAAATACGCTCTCTCAGGAACTCAGGCTGCTTACACGAGCGCTCAGCGAAGAGTTACTCCACATAAGAGTGTTACGGGAAGTGGTAGCTCAGTGGTTAAGACCTTGAACTTCTAATCGGAAGGTTGGGTTCAAATCCCAGCACTGCCAAGCTGCCACTGCTGGGCCCTTGAGCAAGGCCCTTAACCCTCAACTGTATGAATGAGATAATTGTAAGTGGCTCTGGATAAGGGCGTCTGCCAAATGCCGTCAGTGTAAATTACACGAGCGATCAGAGAAGAGTGCTGTTCAGAGTTAGCTGTAACACAATAGCAGCTGTAAATGACAGGTTTATATTAATACGCTTGCTCTAATACATTATCGTTTCTGCAGTAACAGCTGATTGACAGGGACGTGTACGGCGGCTGCTCCACAAAAACGAAGTAAAAGCCTGTGTAATTGTTGATGTGGTGAAGTTTTCTGTAAAGAGAAATGTGTACATTTTACATTTACGGAAGGAGTCTCCAGTGTCAGTGCTTTGTAACAGTCAGAGGTAAAGCGGTGTCTAAATGTTCCGACATCTTCAGGACAGAGGCGTTTACGCTTCTTTGTAGTTTATCTTTGTAGTAACATGACAAGCTGCATTTCTCTCTCTCATGAACTCGGACAGAGAAAAAGAACAAGACAACATATTTTTAATCAGTTTATAATCACACTTATTGTTGAACGCCCACGTGACATGTTCGCTCCTGTTCTCACTTATTTAATAGCAGCTGTAATGTCGTTCCCTCACCAGCCTCTCCTTTCCTCTCTCTTGAAGTCAATAAGACAAAAAAAAAAAAAGCTTCAGCTTGTCATGTTACCGAGAAACGACAAGAAATCCTCTGTCCTTAAGATGTCACAAAACGTCAAGTTACAGTTTGACCTCTGACTGGTCCAAAGCGCCGACACTGTAGACGTCTTCCGTAAACGTAAAACAAACATTTAACTGCTTACAGAAAACTTCACCATATCAACAACTAAAGACGTGTTTTAACGTTCATGTGAACGAGCTGTTACTACAGTAACAACAGCATATTCGAACGAGTGTGTTAATATAACTGCACTACTGTCAGAGCTGCTGTTATAGAAAACTAACCAACACCTCCTGACCAATCAGAATCCAGAACTCAACAGCGCTGTAGTATAAACTACATTCACTCATTTTTGAGCTACACGACAGCATAAACGACAGCAACAACAAACAAGCGCAAGGAATTATGGCGTGATCTTTAGGAACTGTCTGTCCATTAAGTGTTAAATCGAAAAAAGGGCAGCGTGTCCTACAGAGCCAGCGACACACAGATACACAACCTCATTAACCTTTCACACACTCTGATCCACACTGAGCTTTTTTTAAACACAGGTGTAATTAAGCCGAGGTCTAAATGTTACCCAAGGCCACGTTTTTAATATTTAAAAATGGTGAAAAACAGCATGGAGAGTAGGAATAAGGAAAAATACAATCCTGAAGTAAGCAATAAAACACTCCGTGTCACGCTGTGGTAAGAAAATGAATCAACAACAAGGTGGTGTGATGAAGCAGAGTTACAACCTGAAAGGAACCATTTTCCTCTAACAGCACGACCTGAAGTGCGTTACTCCTCTTATACCGCAGCAACCTGTCAGCCATTAGATATATATTATAATATATATTAAATTACTTGCCACGTCATACTTTTTTTTATCCAATTATAGTAACATTTAATGAAATGTGTTACGTTATAGCAGCTCTAAACGATCAAGAATGCGTAAAGCATAAACTCCTCTGTCCTGACGTCGTTACAGCTTTACCTCTGACGGTTACAAAGCACTGACACTGGAGACTCCTTCCATAAATGTTAAACATCTCCTTAGAAAAAAAACGAATATTGGAGTTAAGAAATTATCACTCTAGGCTCATTTGTTTTGAACCTGGTGTTCAGTCGTGTTTTTTTTTTTTCAGTGGCCTGAAAGCTCACTTTGGTACCTTTGATAAACCGGCACAATCGTGGAAATTATATTCTGTGTCACTGACTGCGTTATTTTCTGATGAATAAACGACGTAAATGCTAAAAAAACAGCTTCACAGGGTTAATGATTTGTTTATTTGCGCAAATGTCATGAAATCAATGATATTCTGCTTTTAGCCGATTTACAATTAGATTATACACACAATATACGACGAGGGAACGGAGGGAAATAATGAGTTAAAAAAATATAAGGGAACATGATACACAGAGCTGGAGGCTGGGGAAATTGGTAGCCACACACACACACACACACACACACACACACACACACACACACACACACACACACAGAGCTTTCATCCATGCACGCTCACGTCTGCCTCCGCTCTGTAGGAAAGCCAGTGCACCAGTGTGTGACACACACACACACACACACACCATTTCATCTCTTCACATTTTACTCCAGCGTACACTGACGACACCACCACAGAAATAAACAGACTGGAAAAGCAGAGAGGGAGTGAGAGAGAGAAAAAAAAAATGGAGCAAAGGACACAGAGAGAGATGACAGCAAAAAGGAGAAGAACCAGCAGCAGCAGAGATTCTGTTTAAGCGCAAGGATACGAGAAGAACGCGGCACTTCCTAATGAACCTCCAGAGACGCACGGAGCAAACAAACACCTCCGTCTAACCGAGAAAGAAAGAAAAAAAAAAGTGAGTAAGAGAGGAAAAAAATAGAAAAGAAAAGAGAGAAAGAGAAAAAAAGAGCAAACAAGCAGAGAAAGAGAAGAAAAGAGAAAACAATTATATTTTCTTTCTTTATAAAAACGAGAAAGAAAATAAAACATATTCGTTATTTTCTTTATTTTTATAGAAAGAGAAAAAGAATGAAAGAAAGGATAGAAAGACAAAAAGAGAAAAGAAAAACAGGAAAAAGGAGAAAGAAATAAAAGGAAAAAAAAATTATTTATAGAAAGAGAAAAAGCAGAGAGAGAAAAAAGGAGAGAGAGAGAGAAAGAACGAAGAACAGTAACACAACGATGGCGGCTGTGTGTGGGTTGGTTTTTCTATTAACTGGAGCAGATGTTCAGGTGTGAACACACTCTCACACACACACACACACACTCTCTCTTTATGTCTATAGGGGTGTGTGCACAGATCTAGGTATGCGTGTTGGACGAAGGGGGCGTGGCCTCTACAGCACCAGCCCCTCGTAGGCGGGGCCCTCTGACTCGGGCGACTCCCTCTGCAGGCGCAGGTGCTCCAGTGTGTTGTGGAAGTGTTTGTTGATCTGCTCCGTCTCCTCACTCGCCTCCAGGTTGGGCAGGTCCTCACGGATCTTCTGGATCAACTGGTTCAGGACCTGAACGGTCACCTGTGAAACACACACACACACACACACACACACACACACACACACACACACACACACACACACACACACACAGCTGAATATTAATGAGATCATATATAATGTAATCCTGCTGCAGACAGACAGACAGACAGATAATAGCAAGGACAGTAAGGAATAAAACACTCTGTCACGCTGTTATAGAAAAATAATCAACTGTGTTTTTTCCAATAACAGCAGGCACTAAGGTGTTTTATTCCTCTTATACCACTGCAATGTCCCTAATGATTATATTTTCACTTATTACAGAATGACACATCATACTTTTTATCCATTCATAGTTACATTTAATGTTTTGCGGACGAGTTCGTTCCTGTTCTCACTTGCACTATAGCAGCTGTAAACAGTCGTTCCCTCACCAGCCTCCGTTTTTTTTTTTCTCTCTTGAAGTTAATATGACAAAAAAAAAAAAAAAAGTAGCCCGGAACCCACAAAGCGTAAAACTCCTCTGTCCTGGACATGTCGGAAAACTTAACACTACAGCTTTACTTCTTTCTGAGTGTTACAAAGCACTGACACTGGAGACTCCTTCCTTACTAGCAGAGCGCCCACCTGTGCACGAGCTGTTTCGATAGAAACGGTAAGGTATTAAAACGAGTGCGTTAATATAAACCTGTGATTTGCAGCCGCACTGCTGTCAGAGTTAATCAACTTCTTCTGGGCAATAAGTGCACAGAAAGAAAAGCTTGACAGAGCAGGAAGTAAAGAAAGGAGTTATTAACACGTGATACACAAGTGCAGCCTGAGAGAATGGAACAGGAAGTGGAGAGCGAGAGGAAGACGGGTGAGAACATCCATCTGCTTTTCAGCTCTTTACACCGGAGAGACTCGGAGGGCTTGAAAAGGCTTAATGTAGGTCATGTGTGAAAAATACCGACGGCCAGAAATGCAACGAGATGAAACCCTGGCGGAAATACATGCGAGCTGTGTGTGTGTGCGTGTGTGTGTGTGTGTGCGCGCGCGCACGTACGTGTGTGTTGTTTGTGGTCTCCTGTTAAATTACAGCAGGAGAGAGGTGTGCTTCTGCACCGGAGAGGCCACTGAGATGAGGCAGTAATGAGAAGCAGACTGCAGCTGGGAACACCTGGAGTGCACATGAGTGAGGGCGAGACAGAACAGGAAGAGGAAGAGGAAGAGAAAGAGTATTTTCTCTTCTCATCAGTGCTGTGTGATGAACTGTGGTGACTGATGTGCGAGTCGCTCTGAAATGCTGCTGTCCAAGAAGGACCGTGCCACGGACTGACACGCCACAGACTGGTGTCCTTGCGATAAGATTAGAGAGTATTACACGGCAGATTTTATTTGCCCTCGGAGCGCACTAATGAACTGATGATTTTCCAGCTCTGATTTTTTTTTTTTCTTATATTGTTTTATGGATGTTTCTGCTGGATAAAGTTACAGGACTAATAAATACAACATGAGCAACAGTGAGCTGAAGGTGGACTGAGATCGATAGCAGTGTGCACTCTGTGTTTATCTGCTGTGTGAGTGGTGATGAGTGAGGGCACAACACACACACACACACGCACAACACACACGCACAACACACACGCACACACACACACACACACACACACTGAGCTCTTTCATCTCAGGGCATTTCTGGTCTTCAAGCTTTCAGATATAACCTAAATTCTATTGATCCTATTGTAAGAAAGGTGTGTGTGTGTGTGTGTGTGTGTGTGTGTGTGTGTGTGTGTGTGTGTGTGTGTGTCTCCCTGCTGGATAAATAAATGGATGAATAACCGCTATATGTGAGACATACACAG